CTGTAGTGAATTGCAATCTGCTCTGTTATCTGTAGTCTTATGGTATATATTTGTATATGTGTAAGTACAAATATGTATGCATGTATGTGTGTATATATTATATATGTATTTTTTGCTGTTGGTTTACTTTATGTTGCATGTTTGGCCTGTGTGTAGGCACCCTGGAGGGGAAGGGGAGGGGTGTGGGTTTCAGGGATCTGGTTTATTGTGCTGCATTTATTTTGAAATATTATATATGAGGCATCAGTATTTCTGTTATTGATTTCATTGCTCTTGGCTCAGGGGATGTTCTTTTGTTCTGAAAATTCTTGAAAATGAACAGTTCCAAAAACCCACCCATCCATCCATATCCATGTGTGTGTGTGTGTGTGTGTGTGTACAGAGAAAAGGCCTCGGCACCTTGGTCCTGACCAGCCTGTCCCAGTGTCCCGGTTGTTGCTTCACCAGTTTGAGGACCGGCTCGTTAGAAATCATTTCCCAACGGGAGATATCGGCTGAGATCGTCTGGAGGAGCTGCAGGTCGGCCCTGTAGGAGCGGGCGTTCACTCTGCCGCTGGGAACGGGAAACAGACTGAATTACAAACAGTGTGATTCACACTTTAACCCTATAATGCCAAATGTGTCGTATTTGATTCATACGGTTTCTGAAGTCTTTTGGATCTCAGACTTTTTGCATCATTCAGTGGTAAAAGCTTTGCTCAAACCCCTGTTGTGCACATTCAGATACACCTGATAACAGCCAGTAGAAGACTACACCAAAATATATCTTTGACTTATTGCACGCTAATTTGATCAAAATAATTTAAGTTTTTTTTTTTTTTCATATGTTGTTGAGGGGCCAAAGAAAGACTTCAGACTAAAAAAATCCAATATTCTTCCTATTTTTCTTGGATCAGGCTTTAAAGGGTTAAGACCAGCTGTTCTGGGTCAGAGCAGTTCCTCTCAATTCTGCTCCATCTATTCACTGATTCCAGCCCACGGCCACCGTTTTAGACTCTATCATAGGGTTACAGAACTGAGACCACCTCTACATGCTTCTGTGCCAGAAATGCTTTAAATGGTTCACCCTCTCTAAAAGGATTTATATTATTATCTGTGAACTTGAAGATAAGTAAAAAAATAAAATAGTGAAAACTTAAGGACAGCTCTTATGCATAGCTGCAATGCTGGATTAGCTCTTGCCTCTCATGAAGTAGTTCAAACTTCAGTTCATTTCAGGACACAGACCTGTGGGTTAGAAGATGCTAATGCTAATGCTCGTGTGTTTATGCATGCATTTGGCAGACGAAGAGACTTACAGAGTAGACACACTATATTCCATTTATCATCACTATGACAATAAGCTATATAGAGGAGAAACACTGATCAGAGTCAGTGGTGAGATAGAGATAGAGGTAGAGGGACTACAGAAGGAGTTGTGGGGGGTAGAGGTACGGGTTAGGGTTAGGATAGGAGATGCTCTTTGAAGAGGGGGGTCTTCAAGAAACTCTTGAAGACCCCCCTGCTGTTCTTGTAGCTCGGTAGGTGGTTCCACCATCTTGGAACGACACATGCAAACAGTCTGGATGGTCTTAAGCGTGGTGAAGGCTCTGCTAGACCACAGTCCATTGATGACCGGAGTGACTGAGTTGTGACATAGGTTGGCTCTGTAGGACCGGGCGTTCACTCTGCGTTCACTCTTGTGGGATCGGACTTTAAAATAACTAGATCTGGAGTCTGGATCAACATTTTCTCCTGCCGGGCCGATACGCAGTTTTTTGCGAATATCGGCCGGCAGGAAACATTTTGAATATTTATTTGGTGTTCTGGAGCTGACAGACCTGTAGACGACTCTGTCCGGGTAGAATTCAAAGTTCTGACTCTCCGGGTTCACCAGCTTCACCTTCACGATCACAGAGTCACACGTCTGGTACCAGCGGATATGAGGGTGGAAGCTGAAACCCAAACAGGGAAAGAAAACGCACGTCAGAAGGCCTTAAAACACGACTGAAGTTTCAGGGGTGGAAATTAAAAGAGAAGAGTTTTGGTAGTAAAAGGAAACTGAAAAGTTCTTCAGTCTGCACGTTATCATTAACTCATTGGCTGCCAAAGACGTCTATAGACGTCAATTCAAATCCAACCGTTGACTGCCAAAGACGCCTATAGACGTCTTTTATGTTTTTCAACGAGAGTGGCTGGGGGACGATCTGCTAAAGCTTGTCCGTAAATATCAGGCTTCTAGACAGAGTCTGTAGTAACAAATTGACCCTCTAGGTAGCAGTGCCACTTTTGATGGGAGATGAGCATAGATTGTAGGCAAATAAGAAAAAGGTAACGGTTCGGTATGCGAAAAATGGCGCAGATGAGACGCAAGTAGAGGAAGAACGGAATAAGGTAGAAACAATTTTCTTTCCTGATGAAAGAAGAGAGTCTACTCTTTCTTTTGGTGTGTTCGGTGTTTACATAGTCATAGCACAAACTATTCTGTGGCTCTTGAAAAATCAGTCAAAATGCTCAAAAAACTGGCAGCATGGGACTCTGTTCTGAAAATGGCTGGCAGTCAATGAGTTAAGTACAATACCTTAAGCTTAGCTCTTGACCTTTGGGCACACCTGTAAACAGACACACACACGTTAGTTACTGGACAGAAAACTAACGTGTTCAATAATATTAGAATAGCTGTTTTTCTAAAGGCAACCTTATTAGCAGCTCCTCTGTTGTTCCCACAGGCCTAACCCTAAAGATGTCAGAACTACTCACATCTGTGATTTTCCTCTAAAATTTGCAGCCTACAGTAGGAACCAGCAGAATGTGGAAATAATTGAACGTTACCATTTTCTAAGATGGCCCCGCAGGCTGTGCGGATGCTCCCGTTAAAAAGCTCTCCTCCGTCTTCAGGGCTGTAGAACGCAATCACAGTTTCTGTCAGTACAAGATTATTTCAATATTCTTGGATACTAATTTTATTTATCTATTTACGTTGTTTGTGATCATTAACATGACGTTAGCCCTGAATTGTTAGCTGTGGCTAATGGCTAATAATAACACGCCAACATTAATCAAGTACATCCAAGGATGGATATCCAACTCCATCAACATCCAAGTCGGCCATTTTTGATTAGGTCACCAATAGGAAGATCCCAGGCAAGAAAATCCTAATTGTTTCATGGCAATACAGATATTAATTTAAAAATAGTGAAATTAATCTCGCAAACACTGAATTAAACTCTACACATAATATCAAGTTAAAATAGTGGATGTTAAATAGGTTTGTACAATAAGTCCAAACAAGTTTAATAAAAAAATATTTATTTCTCACAATAATGAAGTGTGGAGGGTTAGGGTTAGGGTCATTAATACGGGCCACCATAACATCAGTAACAGATCAGTTTCAGGTAAGACACTAATCTGTCAAAATTCAGTTAAATTTTGGGGTCTTTGTTTTTATCCTTGTGGTATCGAAAATGGTATCGAGTATCGAATATTTTCCTGAGTATCGGTATCGAGTTGAAAATGTTAGTATCGTGACAACCCTACATGTGAGAACACATGTCTATAGATGAGAGGAAATCTAAACTGAGGCTAAACAAACTGCTCTGGTTTCATTGGCCCACGGACACCAACCTCTCCATCAGTGAAGGCCGATCACAACCGGACACCCGCTGGACCGAGGACTCTGTTGTTGATAATATCCGAGTAAACGGGTCACTCGGCTTAAATTGAAGGGGGTCGAGGGCAGCAGCTTTGCGGACCTCAGCGACCCTTGAGACTTCGGCCAAAACTTCCTCCTCAGCTTTGGTCCCGACTTCCAAAGGCGGCAAACCATCCACCCTCCAAACCAAAACAGAAATATTCCACCAGAGTCAGACCGAGTGATGGCCTCTAACCCTATAATGCCAAATGTATCATATCTGATACAAACAGTTTCTGAAGTCTTTTGGATCTGATACTTTTTGCATCATTCAGTGGTAAAAGCTTTGCTCAAACCCCTGTTGTACACATTCAGATATACCTGATAACAGCCAGTAGAAGACTACACCAAAATATATTTTAGACTAATTGCACGCTAATTTGATCGAAATAATTTCAGTTTTTTTTTCTTCATATGTTGTTGAGGGGCCAAAGAAAGACTTCAGACCAAAAAGATCCAATATTCTTCCTATTTTTCTTGGATCAGGCTTTAAAGGGTTAAGTTTAGTCTGGTTTGCATGATTAAATGCAGCTCCAAACTGGAGATAATCAGCCTATGCTTTCAGAAAGCGAAAAAAAACGTATGGCAGTTATACTGAAACAATAAAATCAGACTTCAGACAAAGAAAATCCAATATTCTTCCTATTTTTCTTGGATCAGGCTTTAAAGGGCCAATAAGAATCAGATTTGGCTTTTGGATTAAAAATCTCTACGAACTCACTTTTAGTGAAGGTGGACAGTAAAATCTGAACTGTAACCACCATTTGAACTAATTCTAGGACACCTCATTTTCTTACCTAAATTCGGAGTCCACATATTTGCTGCTGTTGGCCAGATCTTCTTGACACAGCTCCCTAAGAAGGTCCAGATGCTCGGGGTTGCTGACTCCCATCCCGGTGTTCAGGATCTCAGACCGGACATCGTATTCGTTGATGACAGTTTTCATTCCTTGTATCTGGGTGACCCGGACCTGGTGAGAAACAACACTATATTTTAGTCTACAAAGGTACGCTGACTCTCTCTGTACTTTAGTAGAATTCCTGCTTGAGTTTTATTTTATTTATTTTATTTAATCAGGACAGTGCACATTAATGAACAATCTCATACAGGCTGTAAATGAGCCAGATTATAGCATAGTTGCTAGTTTACATCTGTCGTCCTGAGGCAGGAAGACCAAACAACACAAAATCACAAAATACAAAATCAGTCCAAACACACGTTCAGACAATGACAATACAAAATTAAAATTAATTCAATTCAATTCAATTTCATTTATATAGCGCCACATCACAACAACAGTTGTCTCACAGCGCTTTCCAAACAGAGCAGGTCAGACCCTACTCCGAAGTTAACTACAGAAACCCAACAATTCCCACCATGAGCAAGCACTAGGCGACACAGGCAAGGAAAAACTTCCTTTTAACAGGCAGAAACCTCGAGCAGAACCATGGCTCAGGGTGGGCGGCCATCTGCCTCGGCCGGTTGGGGGTGAGAGAGAGAGAGGGCAAGAGAGAGAGAGAGAGAGAGGGAGGCAGCCAACACAGCAACACGTAGACTAGATGAAAAATGGCAATGATATTAATATTAATGATGATGGTAGAAGTTATGACGGCAACAGAGCAGGAACACGGGCGCAGCAGGAAACTCCCAACCACAGATCCAGACTCCACAGCATTTCATTTTGGATATTTACGTTTTTACAAAGAGTTTAGAATCATGAGAAAATAAAAGGAAAACTATTCTAACAAAAATGGCCCACCAAAAAACTTGAAACTAGAGTTAAATCTAAAGAAAAGGGGGATTTACTCATGTGTCAGACTGGTTACTGGAATCCAAAACAACAATGTTAAAGACCCCCTGCTCGATCAACACTATGCCACCCTTCAACCTAAATACTATCAAAGAGATCCCACCCAGACACTGAAATGTGACTCTTGCTGCTAGATCATCTTTATAAAGGAAGCATCCAGAATTTTGAGCTTCAATCAGCACCAAAGAGCAACACTCTGCTACTTGTAGCTTAATCAAAAGTAAAAAATGGGGGTCAACGGAGCACAACAAACTCTCATATTTGGATATTTTGAACATGGAAAGTAAAAACTGAAATGTAATATTGTATTCTGTAGGTGGAATCA